CCAGCTCCTGCCCACCTAGCAGTCTGAAAGCATGCAAATGTGAGTAGATTAATAGGTACCACTTTAGTGGGAAGATAACAGTGTTCTGTGTACCTTGGTGTAGAGTCATGCTGGCTACATGAACACGGAAGTGTCTTTGGACAACGCTGGCTCCCTCGGCTAGGAAATGGAGGTGAGTACTACCTCCTATAGCCGTGGTGGCGAACCTATGGCTCCTGTGCCACAGGCGGCACGCGGAGCCGTCTCTGGTGGCATGTGAGCCATTGCTGGGCCGAGCTGCTCCCTCCTCCTCTCCGCGCATGCGCAGTCTGGGAATATGTGAGAGGCTATAAAAGGAGCAACTTTCTGTGAAAGCAGCATTTGCTGCAGACAGCTTGAAAGCGAGCAGGAGTTGGAGCTGACAGCTTGGTGGCCATGCCCACTCGGTGGCCACGCTCACCTAGCACCCGACGATGCATAAGTGGATTTTGGGTTGCAGTTTGAGCACTCGGTCTCTAAAAGGTTCGCCACCACTGCCCTAGAGCCAGACATGACTGGACAGGGGAAACGTTTACTTTTAACTTAGTTTACAAAAAAACCCACCCCATATGGAAACAATGGCCCAGGATCCGGATCATGATTCTTTCTTCCACTGGAGTTCAGACCACGTCCGCCAAGACAGGAGCTTACAGCTGCTTTCAACAGCCCATTGCTCTCCAAAGAGGCCAAACTGCTAACCCCATTGAACTGCTTTGAGCTACCTAGCTTGAAGGGATATATTGAACGGAGTTCACAAAAGGCTAAACTTAGCACAAAGTCCCTCAAGGCTTTGCTTTGCACTGAGAAACAAAGCCATCTGGCCTTTGCAGTAACTATGAGTCACCCAAACAATGTCAATATACCTGAGAGGTTCAAAGCCTTTTTACCTACACAGATAATCTGAAATAAATGCAAATTCAGAATTCATGCACAATCTGGAACCTATGCAACTCTTTCTTCAACTGTTAACCGAAAGCAGCCATTTTGACAGGCAGAAGTCACAAATTAACTAAAATAATTCCTTATTTTTTTTTCTTTATAATCCTTCCCCTCCCCTTCTGTGTTGTATCATGTTGACTGTGGAGAAGGCCTTTTAAAAAATTTTCTCCTTTCTTAAAAGAATACCTTTTAGAAGTAGAATCTTGTTTGGTGGACCTAATTATCAGTTAAGATTTTAATTTGAATACATATGCTTCTAGGAGATTTATCCCACTAACTCCAACAAGTTCAATTCTAAATAAAGCCTCGCACTTAGAATCAGGATTCATCAAAATCAAAGGAATTAAACTAAATTATTTAATTATTAATTAATATTAAATTATCTAAAATGTGATTAAATTAAATGCAATTAAAATATCAATTATAAAATTAATAAATAGTAATGGGCCCCTTGAGTGCAGTCCGAAAACAGCTGGAACACCACTTGAACACCATTGGCATTGACAAAATCCTCCATTAGTCAATTGCAAAAGGCAGCTTTACTCAGAACAGCTTACATCCTGCCAGGATACTTTAACACTGTCAAACATCAACATCTACCTATCCCAGGTCTTTGGGAAGGATTTGAAAAATAGATAAAAGTGCCAAATCCAATCTATTCATCTGGCTGGCTGTTGACAAATCATATCTATATAGAAAAAGAACTTGAGACAATTCAAAATAGAAAAACCTGCAAATAAGATGTAGAACAACTGTGGCAAAAGAAAGCAAAGGTAGTACCGATACCAATAGTAACAGGTGCCTTGGGTGCTATCCCAAAACATCTGACCAACCAAGAATAAATCTACATTACTAAGCCATCTGAGCTGTACAATCTATGGATTAATTTCTGAAGGAGCGTGATTCTTCAGAAACATGCTATCTCCTTAAGTCAGTGGTTCTCAACCTGTGGGTCGGGACCCCATTTGGAGTCGAACGACCATTTCACGGGGGTCGCCAAACAACGCAGTCCGCCATTTTTTCCCCCTTTTCCTTAGCTGTGCTACTCCCTTTTATTCTATTGGCTTTTGAAAGCCAATAGAATAGACTCTCTTGAATAGAGTCTAATTCTATTGGCTTTCAAAAGCCAATAGGAATTGTCCAGGCTGTCTCTGCCCTGCTGAGCCCGCCAAAAGTCCCATTCTGCAAACGGTGCTGCACCAGTTGAGTAGTCCTCGACTTACGACCGGTTGAGTAGTCCTCGACTTACGACCGGTTGAGTAGTCCTCGACTTACAACCGGTTGGGGGGGGGTCGCGGCATTAAAAAGGTTGAGAACCACTGCCTTAAGTGCATGTTTCTCAACCAGTGTAACCTTAAGATGGACTTGAAATCCCAGAATTCTGGGATCTGAAGTGTAACAGAATAGCAGACTTGGAAGGGACCTCGGAGATCTTCTAATCCAGAGCTTTTCAACCAGTGGTACGGGTACCACCTGTGGTACATTGGCACCTGGCAGGTGGTACGCGACCATCCTAGAAAAGTAGCGGGGGAGAGGAATGAGCTGAACCGGTGGCAGCACCGCACAAGCCTGAGCGGAAGCGCCAGGATCAGTGCCGCTTTCCAGATGATCGGCATTTTTTCAAGGCTGCCAGGGCTCAGCGGAAGTGCCAGGATCAGCGCCAGGCTCCAACTGGAGCTGGGCGCTGATCCCAGCGCTTCTGCTGAGCCCAGAAGAAGCGCCGATCAGCTGGAATGTTTCAGCATCTCCAGGGTCTTGTGATTTACATTCAGATGCTTGGCAAGTGATTCATATTTATGACGTTCACAATGTCCCAGGGTCATGTGAAGGGACCAAAACCTGCTGCAACCACCCAGCAGATGGGGGGGGGAATAAAAACCAAACACCCCATCCTACTCCCACTGCCAATCCTCAACAGAAGTGCTCACAACAGTGAAAACCTTGGACAGGAGGAAGAGTGCCGCCGGGCCTGGTCTTGCTCGGCTGTGGTTTGTGGGGCACTTTTTTCAGTGTGACTGTAACTTTGAACAGTCACTAAGCGAACTGTTGTAAGTCAAGGACTACCAGTACTTTATCACTTTTTTCCTTTTTTTTTCGGTCATCAAGTTTTTGACACCTTGCTGGGCGACTGGTGGTACTCGGATGTTGCCATATCCTAAAGGTGACACAATGGGTGAAAAGGTTGAAAAGCCCTGTTCTAATCCAACCTTAAAGTTCCTAAGATTGATAAACATGCCTTAAGTCATGCCAAGTGTGGAAAGCCTACAACCCATGAACTACATGGGTTGACTGTAACAGGATGGAATAAAATTTCATAAGTCAACCATATGGTATATTAGAATATATATAAAATTTCATAAGTCAACCATATGGTATATTAGAATACTAGTATAAGTCCTTGGGTTTCATGAGACACTTAAACAGGAGACATCATAAATCCTGCCTCCAAATCCACATAGGAATGGCTGTCATGCTATGGTTACTTAGGAGTAAGTGAAGACAAGTTTTCAGACAGAGAGCAGATGGACTTCCTTTAGAGATGCTGTACTAGAGGGGTCTTCAAACCTGGCCCTTTTATGACTTGTGGACTTCAACTCCCAGAATTCCTGAGGAATTCTGGGAGTTGAAGTCCACAAGTCATAAAAGGGCCAAGTTTGAAGACCCCTGCTCTAGTACAGTGCTTTTCAATCTCATCTAGGGTATTCTGGGAACTGAATTCCACACCTTATAATGGCTGAGATTGAGAAATATTGTTCTAATAGCAGTTGCCCTGACACTTCTAAGATCACTTCCAACTATTCAATTCCACAAATATACAGCACAACAGTTAAGTAAAGAAACAGTCACACCTAAGTACAGAAACTGGTCAATCTGCCCTGTGCAGGAAGAGTTCCTGAACAGACATGACTCTTTCTTTAGGCCAGCAATATTTAAATCAAATCATCATTCATCTCTGAAGCACAGGAACACTAACACCCAACAGCTGTTCCCAAAGGTAAGAGAGGAAGCGTGGATTTGACATCACACAAGAAAAGTTTGAGATTTTTGTAAAACAAAAGAGAAATAATGGTAGCAACTGAAATGTGTAAAATTACACCCAGGTTGGCAAGAGTGAGTTAACCTCTTAGATCAGGGCTCCTCAACCTTGGCAATTTTAAGACTTTAAGCTGGCTGAGGAATTCTGGGATTGAAGTCCACAAGTCTTAAAGTTGCCAAGGTTGAGGACCCCTGTCTTAGATGTTACGATCTTAGATCCCAGAACCTAAAATATTAGAGCAGTGTTTCTCACCCTTGGCTAGCGAATGCAAGCTAGCGAATTTTGGGGCGTTAAAGTTCACACATCTTACAGCTGCCGAGGTTGGGAAACACAGTGTTCAACAATAAATTGTTGCCACTGTGTTCACACAGCACACCAAGGCCTAAAGAAGCCACAACGGAATGGCTTGAGAAGAAGGCTTGCTTCAACAATCAACAGTAGCTATTTGGTTTTAGTTTAGCCACCTGGCTGAATTAAATCAGTGTCCGATGAAGTGCATTTGCTAAATGCAGTAGAACTGACTGGTTTTTAGCTTGGAAAATTTGAACAGGTAATGTCATGTCTACTAATTATGATGTCTACACATTACTTTGAGGACCAGAAATTCTTCCAAATCTGAATCTGTTAAGGACAATGGCTGAAGGATGCTTCAGAAGTTCCACGGTGCTTGCCAAGAAAAGGGGACTGAGAACACATCACAAAGATAGGAAGCAGAGCGGTTGGACGGGTTTCATCTTAAGTACTAGCAATATCTTGACCTCTTGTCTACATGTGTTTACACCAGGGGTCTTCAAACTTGGCCCTTTTATGACTTGTGGACTTCAACTTCCAGAATTCCTCAGCCAGCGAGCCTGACTGAGGAATTCTGGGAGTTGAAGTTCACAAGTCATAAAAAGGCCAAGTTTGAAGAGCCCTGATGTAGACATTCGTAAGAATTAGCCCTCTTTCCCACGTTCTTGTTGAAACGAGAGCCCGAGCCCGTCCCGCGGTGCCCTTGCGCACCTACCTTGGGGGTCTGGCCCACCATCACGTCGGTGCAGCCGACCGGATAAGCGCCCCTCCCGTGGGGCAAGCCGAGGGACTGGGTGACCCCCATCCTTGAAGCTTCGTCTCCCGCGGGAATTCCGAGGCGGCCCGAAACGGCAGCTTTCAGACGATCTCCGGGGCTGGAAGAAGAGAAAAGGGCAGCGCGGTTTCGCTTCCTCCCCTCGGCTCTTCCCGGCCATTGGCTGGCGGCGGAGCGACCCGTCTGCGGGCCGAGCGAGGGAGGAGCCCGGAGGCGCCGAAAGGAGGAAGTTCTGCAGCCGAGGGAGCCAACGCTGCGGGGCAAGCGGGGCTGGTTTGTGGACTTTGGATCGCGCGTCCAGGGCGCGCAGCCAAAGGATTTCGCGTTGCTCGCTTGGGTCGGATGGGAGTTGGAATTCAGCACATCTGGACAAAGGCCGCTTGAGAAAAGAGCACCGCTGGGTTAAAATTTACACGGAAGTTTCTCTCTCTCTTGCTCTCCTTTCTTCCTTTCTCTCTCCTTCCTTCCTAACTGAAGGCAGCAAACATTCCTAATACTAGTTTTTCCCGTGTCATCGATCTGCTGAACACCTAATTCTTACAGTGCTGCCTAATGTCTTTGCGGTGTGTAATATTATTATTTATCATTATCTTCTTTACTCCCCCTTTTATTGGGATGGTGATGATGATTTTGTTGCTTTGCATGTACACTGAATGCTTCTGTACTGGAGACAAATTCCTTGTGTGTCAATCACACTTGGTCAAATAAAGTTCAATTAAGCGCAGTCCAATTTCCTTCCTCTCTTCCCCACAACAACCCTGTGAGATGGTTTGGGTTGGGAGACAGGGACTAGCCCAGGGATAGGCAACCTCGGCTCAGGAATTTCTTTGGCTCTTTTAAATTCCTGAATAACGCTGGGACAATTGTGAGGCTAAGTGGAAAACCTTACACCACTGGTGGCGAACCTTTTAGAGACCGAGTGCCCAAACTGCAACCCAAAACCCACTTATGCATCTTCGAGTGCTGGGTGGGCGTGGCCCATTGGGTAGGCGTGGCTGCAGTGGTAATGGCAGACTGGGTGGGACTAAAAAGTTCAATCAATCAATTTCAACTTTGCGAGATTTTTTCTCCCCTCCCGCTAGATACAGTGTTTCTCAACCTTGACAATTTAAGGCATGTGGACTTCAACTCCCAGAATTCCACAGCCAGCATTGCTGGCTGTGGAATTCTGGGAGTTGAAGTCCACATGCCTTAAAATTGTCAAGGTTGAGAAACACTGTGCTAGAAGTTGAAATTGACTGATTTAACTTTTTTTTTTTTGGTACACGGCGACGGAGGCCTAAAGCAAAAAGGTTTTATAAAACCCAGCTGAAGGCGTGTCCACAGAGAGGGCTCTGAGTGCCACCTCTGCCACCCGTGCCATAGGTTTACCACCACTGCCTTATGCTATATAACACAAATTGTTAAACTTTCATTATGCAAATTATATAAGGGAAGAAAAGAAAAGAAAATTCAAAGAACTGAAAGCAAGTTTTTTTTTTCTCTCTTTTTCTTTAAATCTGGCTCTTTGGGCTATTCAATTCCCCTTTGTCAGAGGTGAGGTGAGGGGGCTGCTAGTTTTTCCCTCCCCTTCACACCTGCAAAAGGCCTCAGGTTCAATATACCTTTTAAGTATTTCCCCTCTGTCTTTTGAAGTTGCTGGGCTAAATTGGAAGTAACCATAAATGTTCCCCTCCTTTTTAATTAAAGGGTTAGGCCTGTTTTAGCCTCAAACCCCAAACTGATATGTGTCTTTTGTTATATGGCCAGTCAGAACATTCACTATGCTGGCTCAGGAATTCTGGGAGTTGAAGTCATAAAAGAGCCAAGGTCGCCTACCCCTGGACTAGCCAAAAGCACTATTACTCACAGTCTCCTGATGATTGGCCCAAAGTTAACCAGCTGGTTTTGATGAGAAAGGCGGACTAGAACTCACCACCTCCTGGTTTATAGGCCAGCACCTTAACTACACCAAAGCCCAGCTTCACTGTAGATCAGTGGTTCTCAACCTGCGGGTTGGGGCCCCATTTGGGGTTGAACGACCATTTCACGGGGGTCGCCAAACAATGCAGTCCGCCATTTTTCCCCCCTTTTCCTTAGCTGTGCTACTCCCTTTTATTCTATTGGCTTTTGAAAGCCAATAGAATAGACTCTCTTGAATAGAGTCTAATTCTATTGGCTTTCAAAAGACAATAGGAATTGTCCAGGCTGTCTCTGCCCTGCTGAGCCCGCCAAAAGTCCCATTCTGCAAACGGTGCTGCGCCAGTTGAGTAGTCCTCGACTTACGACTGGTTGAGTAGTCCTCGACTTATGACCGGTTGGGGGTCGTGGCATTAAAAAGGTTGAGAACCACTGCTCTACAGGCCCCTGACTACATATTGTGAGCCCTCTTTTACCATTAGGCTGCAGCAGATTCCTTCCCTGCCTTTGTGCATGTGCGTATGAGTCTTTGTAAACACTCATACCTCAGCCCTGCTATTTCCACTCCCTTGGCAAAGTAAAATGGAAAAGCAGGTTTCCTTTCCTGGTTTTGCTCATTTTAAAAGTATCTTTATGCAAAACAAACCTGTCCTGCTTTGATGGCTAAGCAAGGTATTTCAAAAGAGTGAAAAAGGCAGGTGAGCACAAATGAGCTGCAAAATTCTAGATGAGCACCAGATGGCAGCAAACCATTAGCTAGGCCCTTTACTGCTGCCATCTACTGTTCATCCAGACTTTTTTAGCCCAGAACTGGAAGTCCGAATGAAGATATTTGCACAGGCCACACACAACAAGAAAGAAAGTTAAAAACATCCAAAAGTCACTTCAATGTTGGATATTTTCAGACAGGTTCATATGGTTTCATTCAAAGCAGGAAAACAAGCAGCCTACATATACGGTAAATCCTGAGTTGTCGTTAGTATTTTGGAATTCTCTACTTGCCCTTGTTTTATTGGACATGAACTTCAATAGATAAGAAATGAAGTGGACGAAAAAAATTAAATTGGTAGAATTAAATTGATGGTGATTCAATGGATCTCCGCGAGTCTTAAAAATGCCCTGTGCAGATCTAAGGTCTCGGTTTCCCAATAAAGCATCCCTAGGAAAATATTTTCTCAGGTTTTATTAGAGACAAATCCCCCTTTGTTTATTGCTGCTTTTTGTAAAATAACAAGGGTGGGCAAGCGTGTTTCTCTAGACTCTTTCATTTATGATTTTTTTTTCTCCTTTTACCTTCAGTCACAGAGGCCATTTAAAAATAGACAGACTTAAAAGGAAGGTTTTAACATAAATCAAAGGACCAACGTTTTTATTACTCAGTCAACATTCCAAGGCATTTTTATTCTCCAAGGCTTTTAATGGACGATTGATGGCTACAGCTCTTATTTCTTCCTTTTTATAGAGATTTATGGCACTTTGGGCATAAAAGGAGCATGTGAACATTTTACATGTGCAACGTATTACTAGCTATAATGGTTAACTTCTGAATATAATCAGGAGTGCTGTCTGATTTAATTATATTCCCCCTAAATGGCTTAATAGAATTTTCACACTGATGCTGGTAAACAGTTTTCTTAAAATAAATAGTATGAAAATGCTATAAATCGGGTCTGCAACCTTGACAACATTAAGACTTGTGGACTTCAGCTCCCAGAATTCCTCAGCCAGCATAGCCAGCATACACATTAAGGACATTGATTACAATGTCCCTATTGAAGAGTGTGAGAAGATGGGAGACAGCTGTAATGCAGTTCTTTTTGTGTCAACCCAGAGTCAACATGTAGGGGAGATGGGCAAGCACAGACATTTAATGAATGAATGAATAAAAACAAGGTAGATTAAATTAAGAAATTGATGCCATATAGATCAGGATTACTTTTAGTATAGAAGCAGCCCTTGACATGTGACTTAATGGAGCCTGCCCATTACAGTTGTACAGTGGTACTTTGTTACTCAATTGCTTTGAAACTCATTGAATTTGGTACTCAGTGCATTTTGATGCAAAAAATATTGTCCCGATACTCATCGTTTGTTGGTAAGCAACACACAAGCCAGAACTTGTCAATGTCAGCTGCCTTGTGACTCATTACATTATTCCTTATAAGAAAAAAATGGTTTGGAACTCATGAATTTTGGTAGCCATTGTATCTCCTGGAACCGATTAAAGATGAGTACTGAGATATCACTGTATGTTGTGGCTGTTGTAAAATGTACTCTGCAGTCATTAGGCAAACCCATTGTTCACTGTGATGTGGTTTTGCTGAAAACTGGAAGTGCTGGGTTTTACTAAAAGGGCAGTCACATGACCACGGAATGCTGCCAGTGGCTGTAAATGCAGCCATGTTGCCACATGCTCAAGGTTCAGTCACATGACCACAGAGAGGGGTCCAACGATGGGAACTTGGAATGTGGTTTATAGGACTCCTTTTTAAGATTGGTTGTAAGTCAAATACAGCTATAGAAATAGAATTTTGCCGGTCTCAATCAATGAATCAGAATAAAGCTGGAAGGGACCTTGGAGGTCTTCTAGTCCAGCCCCCTGTTCAAGCAGGAGCCCCTATATCATTTCATACAGGTGGCTGTCCAGTTTCTTCTTAAAAACACTGAGTGATGAAGCACCCATAACATCTGAAGATGTTCCACTGGTTAATTGTCCTCACTGTTAGGAAGCTTCTCCTTAATTCCAGGTTGCTTCTCTCCTCGATTATTAATTTAGATCAGGAAGGGACCTGATCTAAATCAAAGGAAATAGTGAGGCCAGATCACAATCTTACACAGAAGTAATTTCATTTCATGTTGATGTCTTTCATTCAAATGCAGGTGATTTAATTAAATTTGCTGCCTTTAAGGCAATAAAAATAATGATTTCATTGTATTAACTTTTCCTTCTAACCTTTTACAAATTATGGTTCGGGTGTAGCTTTTGGAGAGTTAGGGCTTTGTATGCCATCCTGGAAATGTTAATTGCCTAGCTCTACCTTATGGATGGAGCAATTAAAAAAAGAATAGCAAATAGGGAGATGCAGAAAACATTAGCCCTCTGCTGCCCTCTGTTGGTCATGTAGAATTTTTTTTCTGTCCAGTTCTGGTAGCCAGCTTACAATTTTCAATGGAAAAGATTATCTGGCAAGGTTGCACTTCATTAAATTAAGCATTTTAGAATGGTCAGACCTAGTTAATACAAGGAGGGACTATGAACCAGGAAA